GAGAAACGAGGTAATCTCCGCATAGGTGACCACTTTGATAAATGAACGTCTGGCATTGTTTCCCGTGCATTGCGACGATAAAGAAACCTTGAACAACGGCGAACTTTCATGACAGATATAGAAAATCACTCAGGTAACATTCTAACTGAAAACAGGTGGAAATTCAGCTTAATGAAATTTGAATATTAAGTATCATAACGAATTAAAATTCAATCAGTGAAGTTCTTCATCCTTGAGCGAAACGAAATTCACGGTCGTGTAAATTTTATATCTAATATTTACTGCAACTTAATAAGTCCTAAAATTATCACTGTTTTAATTAGTATAATCAAAATAATTTCCTATGTAATAAAACGACGTGAAATTTTGAAATTATTAAACTCGTTTAAAATTCTCGTTTAAATACGAACCCTCTGTTTACACTGGCTTTATTCATTATATCACCAAATATAGAAATTGTACCAGTCGACCAGGGAGACAGTCGCCAAAATTCGGATGGTAATAATAGAGAGGAAACGTAGAAATAAAAAAAACAAACATTTATTTAAACTGAACATAAATAAGACTAACAAAAAAAAGAAAATGACTCATATTATACCCTGAATGTTCCTGCTTCCCAGATTTCTGATCAAATTAAAATGAAACTTCTACGTTTTCAATTCCATGGAAATGTAGAAGTACAATTTCAGTCTTGTATCGATTTAATACATGCAAATCCTTGCAATTACTAGGAAAAGTTTACAGTTTTGGAAGACGATTCCAAATTTTAATTAACTAATAATAAATTTTTGTGGGTGGGTACGTTTGAAGCAAGATGTAAATGTAAAAATGTTTTAAGTTCAGCTTTAATTACGCACAGCTTTTCAAAGCTTAAAATACTCGGAACATGTATGTCTAAGTAATCTACATTATTTTTACTCGACGTTTTCTCTTACGTTTTATTTCTGTTCATGCACATCTTTTAAGAGAGAACGCAAACTGATCGATATGCTCGAGTTTATACTAAAACCTCCGTGTCAAAGATGTCTCCGTGTTCCCAGTTGCCGAATGAACAGTATGATCTTTCTAGATATGAAACAAGGCTTGATGCATGATTTCAAAATATCATAGAATCCTGACAGCTTTGTCGATTGATCACGATTGTGATAAACATGATGATGGCATATTTTAACTGCTCGTGGCAGCAGCAGAAGTGGCAGTAGCAGCAACAACAATCAAAATCGTCATGCCTAATAGCTAGCTAGTGGTTAGTTGTTGTCTTGGACGACTATGCTAATTAAACCATCTGGAAGTGTACACCAAAACAAGACTGGCCCTCTGGGAAATAACTCGGGGTATGACGTTCCACTCAGAAAAATGCAGCATCTTATGAGTTTACAGAAAGAAATCACCAATCGTGGACGAATATAATCTTAAGTGGTACAATGTAGCCAATGAGCAGGCAACAAAATATCTCGGGGTTGAATTGTCCAGAGACCTCGCTTGGAAAAGGCACATAGACCATATAGTGAAAAAAGGAACAGTTACCTTGGTTTAATGCGCCTCAGCCTCTAAATCAACAATGAAGAAGTCAAAAGTGCAGCATATTTCACTATGGTTCGACTAGGTCTAGAGTATAGCTCGAACGGGTGAAACCCACATAATAAAGATCTAATAAATAAGATAAAGATGGTTCAGAGGAAAGTTGCTAGTTTCACCACAAATAAATATCGTAACACTAGCAGTGTCAGTGCAATGTTGAACCATCTATAGTGGGAATCACTCGAATCAGGCGAACCAATGTGCAGCTGACCATGTTGTACAAGATTGCGAATAGCCTAGTGGACATACCAGCGAACATATATATGATCCTGTCATATTGTCAAACTAGAGTAAACCACAGGAAAAGGTTCCAATTAAAGTCAGCGTCTACAAATTGTTTCAAGTTCAGCTTCTTCCCATGTACAACAGGGACTTGGAAAAAATTTCAAGCAATAATTGCAGAAGCTCCAGACTTGGTATCTCACAAGCAGAAGCTTTCCAAAATCACATTCTAATCAACTAGTCAGCTAGAAGTAAGACCTAGTGATTCTCAGGTCTTTGCTGGTTGAGGTTCCTTATCTCATTGCCGCTACGGTAGCAGGATTAGTCTGAGTATGAAGGGACGAAAACGTACACTGACACTCTTTGACTTATTTTTGCCTTTCCTATCATTACTTTTCTGACTGTCCTATCATTTCCGTCTTTACTTTTAACTTTATCTATATCCACGTAACACCCATTGCTTACTAGTCAAGTGCAACTGTGTCAACGTATTTATAGATAGATAGCAGACAATACAGAGTCATCAAATGTCAATAGTCAGAAACGACTTTGTTGATAGGTCAAATTTAGTCTGATAAATCAACTCCACCCTCAAGTTTGTTTTGATACTGATGGACGATATTGTGGGTATGATGTCACCTGTTCCTTAAAATGTGCAATTTTTCTTTATGCATATCTTTCAGGAACAACCGTATGTACACTTTAGACACACACCGGTAATTGGTAACAGCCATTTCTAGCGCGAAATTCAAAAGGCAACAGGACAGATGGTTGTCTTATTCCATGTCAAGTCATCAATCATCGGTTTTTCTCCAGAAATGTACATGTTACCAAAAGAACCTTCATGCCAACGGTAGCTCCACAGCCCCGAGAAATAGCGGTAAGTGTTTAAAATGTACACTGATGTGTGCAGCTGAAATTGGCTGAAGATTTTTACAGCTTAGAATGAATAGGTGACATCAGCCCCTGAAATGAAAATCAATATCATGACTGATGATGGGCTGTTTCATCAGCCCCGGTCAAATTACACATGTATTTTCTTATTGGTTGTTTCTTCTGTTTAATTTTATGAGAATAAGCACACAAATAATCAAAATAAATCCTTACATCTTGAATTACTGAAAGGAGCTCAAGGTCAAAGTAACAAGGTCAATAGTGATTATATTTCATCCATAAGTAGACAGGTTGTATATGGACTGGAAACCCTACTTGGACACGAAAAACGTCAAATATATAGGGATGCTACTTAAAGTTCAAAGGTCACGGTAAAATATGGCTAACGCTTCATAGATTTTGTATACGTACACCAACACAAAATTATCAGCAGAAAATGTTTCAATGAACTAAATTAAGAGATTTGTTTCATTCCATCAGATCCTGGATACAGATTTCACCATAGATAATATCTCATGTAATTAAATCATTAGAATGTTATCGAACTTATTAAAGGAGTTTCCGTTTTGTCACAACAATAAATTTATTGTGTCTGATAGATCCATTATTCCTTTTAGGTCACACCCACCTGTGCATGGTTGTAGGCTGTAACAGACTTGCGGCTGTAAAGAAAGAAAAGATGCAGCTAAATTTGCTTAATAGATGACAATTCATATATTTAAGTACTAATATCTTGCTAAGGTCTAAAACCTCAATTTTATATCAGTCGTAACATCTTGGGCCTTTCCGCCAAAGGTAACGGCTACGTTACCTAATTTTACGTTGAAGTTTAGTTTTTTTAACTTAAATATTTATTTAAAATTCTAATAAATTTCATTCATTATCGTCTTTATATTTCAATTAGATTTTCAGATATAAATTATTTTATATTACATTTAAGATTTCGCTGCATCGAACAATTCATATAACTAAGGACGATATAGCAAACTTGGAGCAATTGGACCAAAACTTGCACGATGTGCAACACCAGCAATTCAAACTTCCTGACAGCCGTCACACTCCTCATTTGCTGCGAAATTCAAAAGACATCCCTGAATAATGCTGAAATAGGTGTAGTATGCAGATATAAAAGTTTGACTAAATTTGGCTATAAATGATTTGGCCTTATATGACTCAGGTCACAATTATTACTTCCGGTTCATTATCCACGAGTGTAAACCCAGTCATTTTTTAGAACAAATGAATGCCGGATAATATGTGACGAGAACTTTTACCGCCAGCTCCTCTTTGGAGGTAGTTTATTTTATCCTATAATCTATTTGGATTAGGACAGAGTTGAAAGTTCAGTACTGTGTAACAAATGTTAAGATCATAACAAAAAAACAAACAAACAAACAATTGAAACAATTTTGATTTGCGTCAGTGTGAATTTGTATTATACTTGAATGTGCAGCCGACAGCATGTTCTGTGGATAATTGAACAATTCTGGAAAACAGTAAATTTAAATTATATATATATATATATATATATATATATATATATATATATATATATATATATATATATATATATATATATATATATATATATATATATATATATATATATAGTTCTTTTAACCCTTTTTACATATATCACATACCATATTTTTCAAGGATTTAATATCTGGTACCTTTCTTTTTTTAAAATAACTATTTTTAGAATGTTATCATTTTTACATTGTAATCTTTGTTGTTTAGAACACAATGTGTATGTCTTTTTAGGAGGCTCCATCTTTGTATGTGTCTTTTTATTTGCTATCCTTTGCGTCTATAGTTTTATAACTCTAATTTTAAATCGGTGCTGTTTAGTCCATGTTGTGCCGATCAACTCTGCAAATGCAACTGCTTCTTAAGAGGTGATGGAAATAATTGATGTTTTATTGATCGTACAGTTTTCAAATACGTCTAACCAGTAACATTGTGGCTGGTTTTTAGTGTAGTGGAAAAATGTGTGTGTGTATATATATATATATATATATATATATATATATATATATATATATATATATATATATATATATATATATATATATATATATATATATATATCTCATCATCATCATCATCATCATCTTCATCGTTGTCATTGTCGTATATGAAATGCCCATTAAACAACTGTATATGTGCACTAGCTAGTGATACAATATAAATCCATCAACTGTCAGTGTGTGGTGTCACCAGCCAAACTTCTCGTTTTCGCTAGATAAGTAATAAGTACCTTATTTCATGAAATGATTTATTTTATATTTTAGTTATTGACTCCCGTGATAGCTCAGTCGGTAGAGCGGAGGACTGTAGAAAAAAGTCAAATTGACATCCTTAGGTCGCTGGTTCGAATCCGGCTCGCGGGAAGTAACTTTTTCTTTGTTTCTAATGTATCCCTAGATTGACCAGTCAGTTTATTCTTTGCAAGCAAAGAGTACTAGAATAATAGCGAATCGATAATGAAATACTGATAAGTGGAATATTCACTATTATTAAATGGATAGTTTCATGTGTAAAGAGAGGTAGAGTTTTTCTCACCAAGAGGGACCCTTTCGATATCTTCATTTATTCATTTATGGCATCCTTACCATCGTTGTCAATTAATGAAAAATAGTACTGTTGGTTATTTCTCATTTTTATTCCGATGATAAGAATCATCACAAGTTGTCAAAGAAGAGAAAGTCGAACGCTTAAAAAATTAACGATGGAAAGGGGTCAAAGGTTAAGAATATTACATTACTCTTGACTGCAGTTCATCTTATAGGATGTTAACAAACACTCTTGTAGAGTGTGACGTCATTCTGCTCGCAGGACGTCATACAGAACTAACACGCCTCCTTACAAAAGAGATTCCTGCTCAGTCGGATAATATAATAAATATTGCACGATGCTGAAGAACCTAACTTCACTTTATGGACCAGTCGGTGACCCATCAAAGATAAATGGACTCCAGATTCGTTTCGGTTCAAACACCATTATTTATTATTACAGCTCCACGGTTTTAAATTAAGTAATAGAAATGAGTGAAAAGCAACAAATTTTGTAAACTTAAACAAATAAATTATGTACCCAGAATACAAAATGTAAATGTAGGAAAAGGAGTTCAAGTTATCGTGAATTAAATCCAACCCCCCACATAATTACAGACACAAGTCCTAATGATTAAAGTTCTATATTAAATTTAGCGGAAATCTAAATTAAATCCATTGCTGGAAGTGTTGATGTGCCTGTGGTGGCCGGAGTAGTGGGGACGTGCCAACGGTATTGCAGTATCACAATAATACAATCCAAAAATATATTCTTATTTTAAATTTCAACATAAATCCAAATCTCTATTTATTGGAAAGTCACTTTTGTGTTTCCAGTGAATAAACAATTTGTATAACTAAATTCCAGCCCAAATTAATTAATGGACACAACAATATTACACCTGATTGTGCTCTGATCTTACATCACTAATAATTAATTTCTAGGAAAACAGCATTATATAGTCATTTACCTGACCTCAGGTCACAATTAGCATTTGCTGAAGAAAAAGAAACTTGTTTCCTAATAGAAAGTTTTCTTATGGAAGGTTACAAATGTTTACAAAATAAAATTTTGGTTGTAATTAGAAGTCTATTTCTAAACTTTTAATATGAAATGTAGTAAACATCAAAATACAATTATCCACAGCATATAATGAAAGTGAAAAATATAAACAATTAGTAAGCAAACAAACAATTCAAATTATATATACATAAAGTTATCAAGTCATTTAACTGGTATAAAGCACACAGAACCATGCAATATTGTAAAATATGGATCTTTGGTGTCATTGGTTTTCTATTGGCTGGATTTTGGGGGAATAGTGTTAGAGAAGATTTATCCTCTTCTTTGACAACAATGATTCCCTCCAATTTGCTTTCCAGACAAAAATGCCTCATTCTAAAATATATTTTATCACCTTGTCGAAGAAAATACATTTCCGATCAGTCCTCACAACAACCGAAAAAGATTTACATCTTCCAGCACACATAACAACTTCATTCATGAAAATGTGTCCTCCACTGCAATAGGAGTCTGTCTGAACTTATGATGCGCATATATTGTGTTCTCGCGTCATGGAGATCCTGACAGGTACTGGGGTTATTTAAAAAGATTACAACACCAATTGTATTAGAATATATGTACACGGTTTAATTTATATGAACACGTGATAATTATATTGCCCATTATGTTATAACGTAAGTCCACAATTTAATAATGCCCATTGTATGTAGTCGGTGATAATTAAAAGATTTTACTACAGTGATGAAGAACCAATCCATCAACTGTCAGTCGATGGCGTCACCATGCAAAATGATAGTTTCGGCAAGATACAGCAAAAAACAAAAATAAGTAACATAAACCAGGAAATAATTTGAAATATATTCGGATTTTTAGAATCCCATGATAGATGGATATAGCGGAGGACTGTAGGAAAAGTTGATGGTTATCCTTAGGTCGCTGTTTCAAATTCGGCTCGCGGGAATTGCGTTTTCTTTATTTTTTAATTTCTAACCGTGCTGACCATTAATATAATCGGTTCTATCCAAGAATAATTACTGGAAAAATATAGACTGGATAGCTGAATATTATTGAAGGGATGAATGAATGTTATGGAAAAATTCATTTTGGGAAAGTTATGGTTTGAGGAAGAGTGTTTATTATTTGGGTTTGGGTTTTCTCTTCTAATTATCTCTGACCGTCTGTGATTCATTTGTGACCCCAGATTCGCCATTATTGGAGTGATCAACAAGTTCAGGACCTTAACGGCTTCACCGCCAGGTAATATTTGATAAAGATGCATCTTTGGTGTCTTTGGTTCTCTAATGCTCGCGTTTTTGAGGAATGGTTTTAGTACCATGGGTCTTCTTTAACCAGAATTTTTTTACATTTGCTTTCAATCCTGTGTACACGTATATGTTTATCTCTGCCACCAATAATGACCACTCAGAATTTTCTCATCGTATAAAATCTACAAATACATTGTGGAAGAGAACACATTTCCAGTCAACCATCATTTCAAAAGCGATAGAGATTTCCCGCTTCTATCACCATTACTGAATGAGTCTTGTTTGGAAGGGAAGACGTCCCCCACTCTGCGTAAAGCCTGCCTGAACCGTTGATACATAGACAATGTGGTCTCTTCATCGAAGTTTCAACTTATTTCGATTTTAGTCCTTGAGAAATTGTATAAAATCTTTATAAAAAAAATTCTCACATACCGAACTGAGTTTCTGAAAACATATAGAAAGGAACAGTAACAATTTTAAAGCTACGTCAAAATTATATATTACCCATAATATTTGAATACAGGTAAAGTGTTCAAAATACTCATTAAATTATAATATAGGTATATGTCTACAATTTAATAGTACATTTATATATATATATATATATATATATATATATATATATATATATATATATATATATATATATATATATATATATATATATATATATATATATGGTATTACCATTCTCTTTAAGAGATATTACAATTTAGCATTCTTAGTAGTACTGTCAGTCTTGGCACTGTTATATTACCAGGACTGCTTTCTATATTTAATTTAATTATTCGATGGAATTATAGTGCTCTATCATTCAATTAAAGACTAATTGGTAATATATTAACTGTGCAGAATTATTATGAATTCAGTTATAAAAAAAATTTGATCTATAATAGCTGTACGGTATATAGTGAGTTAATTTAGAACTTTTTTTTTGATCCTAGCTGTACATAATTACTGTGAATTCGTTAAAAGCCTATTTTCATTTATAGCTGTCATGCGATTATTTTGAATTCATTTAACTGCTTTTGGAATTTTAACGGTGATCCTTCTGTATACTTTCTACATAATTACAATACAGACGTTTTGGAATACCTTTGCGACTCAATCGGATTATTCGAACCGTTTGGAATTGATAGAAAATATAGTATTTTAGAAATTCAGTCACCCTACTGAAGCTGTAAATTATTTTTTTTCTAACACTTTTACTTTGCATTTTAAGAACAAATCAATGCACATTCATCAACTACAATTAGCTACCAAGTCTATATTAGTTCTTGCAATAAATGTTTTAAATAAAAGACATAGTCAAGAAGTTTGATTTCTGAATCTAACGTTGAAATAAATTTTTCAATAACCTCAATGGTCCACGTATAGTATGTCCAAGTAGTGTTTCAACTGGATCAAATACTTATAATTCTTCAACTGATTCCGTAAAAGTCAACAACAGTAAACGAACACCTCGTTCCAGTCTTTTTCTTTGTTAAAGCATTATGGCCAAATTGTATTCTTCAACGTTTGATGACATATTTCTAAACCCCATTGATTTTCAGGGTGATTGACAGAATACGTAAACGGTTGGATGGATGACTAATTCATGCAAAACGTGATGGAAAATTCAATACATACATTGTATCCTTGACTTGATTAGGTATATGCGGAAAGGCCACAAAAAGTGAAAGTAAACTTTATAAAAGCTTTTACACAGTTTTATTTTTCATATTCCTTAAGGAAATTGCCTATGGAAATCTTATAGACTCACACATTAATTTCAATAAGTATTAATTGTCTAACTTGGTTTTACATAAATGACCGACTCAGTCTAGCATTTTTGATCTGATAAATGGTTCGACAGAGGCAGAAATAGGTTGCATATAAGCCTCAGATATATTTTCATTGGGATTTCTTAAAATTTGAAAAATATGACAAGATGTACAGTTTTTCATAAAATAATTTAAGATTTTTGACCAATAAAAATGGTTCAAGATCTATAAATGACCAGCCAGAGAAGTTTTATGGGCTAGACTAAGTTATACTGTAGCTATGACTTCTGATCAACAATTTTAAAGGTCACTGGCAAATAGATACAAGCGGGTAGCTCGGGTTGTTTGCATTCTTTCATAAAGATTTTATTTTACAGCAAATAACAATCTGGTACCGTGTGGCTTCAGTCTCTCTAATAGCCCTCTGAACAAACAGGAGATTTCATGATCTTGTTTCTGTCACTCACATGAAAATAAAGAGATAAAGTGAAGAGGATCATGACAATAAAACGTCTTGACTGATCAATACTTGGAGCAACAGTGACCTCATAAAATAACTGACCAATAAATGTGTCGGGTAAAATAAGTATATCCTGGTAAAAATCATTCTTAAGAGCTCTTTTTCCAGAGCTCTTGTAACTGTAAAAGCTGGATAAAAATCAGGAATTTAATTCTCAATAGGACGGACTACATCATTCAAGCAAGCCTTGTCAGTTACAGCAGATTTACCACAACCTTATCATAGGCTAGGGAATTGTCTAGTGATAAACAGATGCCATCAATGGG